TTTGATGGTGTTAAATGTGCCCAGGTTTAGCCCTATAGCTGTGTGTGTTGTCTCAATGAGTCAATGGGCAAGTGTTTCTTTAATTTCTCAAGGATATCAAATTGCATTTTAGTTTAATCAGTTGTCTCCAAATTTTCAAATTTGTAACTTGTGTCAGCTTCAAGAATGATATAACGCATTTATTGCAGATCAAATGTGGGGAAATAGTTTTTTTTTATTGACTTTTTAATTTTTATTTTATTTTTTTACAAGGTGAAAAAGTTGATTTATTTCAAATTGAACTAATTTTTTAGTTACTATTTTAGTATGAATTATTTTTCTAGTTATCTTTTCACTTTTTAATTTTTTTTTTTAAAAAAAATTTCCAGATGACCCCTAAAGTGGGAATCGGAGAACAAGTGTTTGTTACAGTGTCAAGTGACCAATAATGCTATGCACTTGGGAAAAAGTTGTCCTAAAAAAATTGCATATTTTAAAATGAAATAAAGCTTAAGACCCCACCCTCAGTGACTCCCAATGTCACGTGGCACCGCGTGATTGGAAGGAAAAAAAAAAGAAAAAAAATTATTTTGGCCTACTGGGGGTGCTGGGGATCCCTAACACCGTTGTTTAAAATGTATGTATCAAATTTTGACTCATGTCACACTAATTTTAAATTTATATGATATAATCAAATTAAATCAAGTTTTAAGTCTCATCAAATAGGGTTGGTTACATGAATCATTTTGCTCCACGCGACCCTATCAAAGGCCATTTCATTAGTTAAATTAAATAGATCCATGTCTCTATTTACAACGCTAGCCAACGTTAATCTAGGCCTACCCCAACCCCTAACACTTTCATCTACCATTACAACATTGCATCTCTTCACTGCTGCCTCTGTTAGTCTCCGTTGAATATAACCGAACCATTTCAATCAATTTTCTCTCAACTTATTTTCTATCGGTGCTACTCTTACCCGTTCCCGAATACACTCATTCCTAATTCGGTCTTGTCTAGTCTTACTATACATTAACATTCTCATCTCAGTCATACTCTTCTTATCTACATGTTATTTCTTGGTTGCCCAAAATTTCGTCCCATACAACATTGCTGGTCTAATAGTCATTCTATAAAACTTACTTTTTAGTGTAGTGGGTATTCGTTTATCGCACAAAACCTCAGACACACTTTTTCACTTACACCATCCCGCCTTAATCCTATGGGCCACATCCGTATCAATCTCTCTCACTGTTGTGATAATCGACTCTAAATAACGAAAATGTTCACTCTTAGACAATTCTTGGTTCTCAATATTCACTTCTCCTTTACTTTAATTGTTACTGTTACTAAATTTATACTCCATGCACTCTGTCTTAGTTCTACTTATTCGGAATCCTTTACAAGATTTACATGATATATTAAAGAAAAATAATTTATCCTCCTAATTTAGCTCTCCAATTCCACCTCCAATGATGTGAAATTAGGAGTGCTAAAGATGAGGGAGAGAGGAGAGTGGAGATTGTTTCACGTGAATTTTTAGTCACATTATTGAGAGTAAAATTGGAAAGCCACAATTAGGGGATGTAACACAACTGTATATTAAATTATGTGAATTTTTCTAGCTATATAAAATTAAAAAAAAAATTACAACATCAAAAAACTTGGTTATTTTCGGATTGGTTCTTAGCGATATGCTCTAATTTTTCATAATGGCTTTAGGTCTTTATTTTTTTTTTTTTGGTCAGAGAAGCATAAAATTAAAAACAGTTCTGGAGTGTTTAGACCACCGGCATCAGAAAAAATCTGAGAATAGTTAAGATTCTAAGTCCAATATCTTTGTTGAATTCTTCATTGACATTATAATGAATTAAGATTTTAAAAATCAAAATTTATGAATAAAATATTTGAATTGTTAAAAATATAATTATTATATTTTTAGTATCGAAATTAAATATTTAGTGATTAATTACTATCCTTTTGGACCAAAATTTTAGTCTTACAAAAATATAAAAAATTTAACAAAAAATTATTTTGTTCCTAAGAATGCATTTTTTAGCAACATTTTCAAAATTTTCTCTAAAAGTCCCTTCTCCTCTTATTAATAAAATTATTTTCTTTGGTGATCAAAAAATTAAAAAAATAAAAAAAATATATGACTCCTGTAACAATAAAAATTAATCTCCTAATGTTTTCTAACTCCCCTTTTGCCTTCTTCCCATTCATATTGAAGACTATTCTTTTATTAATTACTAGCAATGAAATTTGTAGCAATGGGATTATACTCATTCTCACCGAAACATAGTTTTAATGTAATAAATTTCCTTTGCGACAACAAAAAATCTCCCCTTATTCCATAAAACTTTAGTACTCACTAATTTGATTGTGATTAAGCTAAAAATTTTAAAAATGAATAAATTTATTTATTTATAGTCCGCTTGGTATGACTAAACTTTTTTTTTTTTTTTTTACATTGTTTTGAAAGTTTTGTAACTTCTTGATAAAATTACCTTTTTTGTCATATTTGATACCACACTGCAGTTTTTTGGGTTGTTTTGAAAAAACTGTCTTGCAATTAACTTAAACTACTGTTGTTCGATTGGTGCAGAATAACCAATATTATAGAAAAACATATCTTTTAAGTTGAGTTCTTTTGGGGAGTAACTCCTTTCAAAATTCCAGCTTCTCCATAGCTCTAAAGATTCTATTTTATGAGTCCTGTGAGGGGTTTTATAATGATAATTTAAATCGTTCAATTCGTAAGTATAGAAAGAAAAAACATTTAAAAATCAATTTGATCAAAAATTGGTAGACATACTAATTAATTATGTTTTATTTTATGAAATTGACAATAAATATGATTTTAAACTAAAATAGTTTATTTTATAAAATAAAATATGATTAGTTAGTACCTTTATCAATGCCCAATTAAGTTAATTTTTTGTATTTATATTCTTATTCCTTTGAAGACCTACCAGATAAATGGTTTGGATCATGGCTCTACGGGCTCACAAAATGAAATCTTGAGAGTTATGGAGAAAATAGGGTAATGAGGGGAGCTGGTCTCTTTCTTTTCACCTTTTTTTTTTAAATTTTTTATTTAAGAAATTAAATGAAAATGTTAACCACTAACTTAGTTTGAATTACTTAACGGCAAAAATAAAAATAAAAAAATAAAACATAATGTTTGAATTGCATCACATCACAAAATGAATTACACTTTATATTTGTGTAATTTTGGTTTTCAGTCCCCATCAGTGATTTTTCCACAAGTGTAAGTTGAAGGTAAGAGTGTTCGCGGTTCAGTTGCGGTCGGAAAATTTCTAATTCGCCATTCGTCTGTTGGATTGACGGATTGGAAAAAATTAATTCCTATCCATCTATCAGATTGACAGATGAATGCGAATCGGTTTAGCGGTTTAAACTTTTACAAATTTTAAATATAATACAACAACTTGTCAATATTTTTTTTTGGATAACAATTCAACTCAACATAACTAAAAGATTATCAAGCAGATTATCAAATACTAATAATAAATACATATAAGAAAATCATACACTATCAAAACTATTTCATTACTTTTTTTATTCAAAAACTATTTAATTTGATTTTTTTTTATTCAAAAACTATTTAAAATAACAAAATTAAGCCTTATATTTTTCACGAAAAAATACAAAATATCACCACTTTCAATTTAATAAAATGATTTTTAAATTAAAAACAAATTAAAAATACAACAGAATATCTAAACTTTTTTTCAATTGAAAACACAAACAGAATATTTAAACAAATTGAAAATACAAAGTCTTACAAATTACTTGTGGTGGTCGCGGTTTCGTAGTTCAGTTGCGGCCAAATGAACCTCAAATCCGCCGTCCTTCCAAAATTAGGCGAATTGAAAAAAATAAATTCACAACTATCCGCTCGTTATCACGCATCCGTTTAAAATGCGACGAATCAGTCCGGTCAGTTTGGGTGGATTGGAATATCCGCTACTCACCCCTAGTTGAAGGTTATTTTTTTTAAATTCTCCTCACATTTACAAATAATCAAAATGTTATCTTTAAACTAGGGACCTGGAGCCCTTCCAGTCTTTAATGCAAACTGGAGGGTACTATTCAGATCTGTATGGTTTATTATTAATCTCGTTTTGATAATTCTAATAATTTACTTTGTTGGACACTTTATGTATATCAATCAAGAAAAAAAAAATTAGGTCGATTCAATAATTGTAACCTATTCAATTTATTACGTTTGTCACTGAAAAAATAGACGACAATTGTATTTTTAAAAATAGACCATTCATTTTTTTTTATGACAAATACGATAAATTAAATAGATTACGATTATCGAATCGACTTAATTTTTATTTGTAATTGATATACACGTATAGCCCAATAAAATAAACGATTTGAATTATCGTAATAAAAACTGTGATAGATTCCACAAATCTAAACAGCACCTACCAATCCGGATTAAAGACGGGAGGAGATCCACCTCCTTAAACTAAAATTTTAAAATACACAGTTAACATTGTTAAAAATAAAAAAAATAAAAAAAATAAAAAATAAAAAATAAAAAATAAAAAATAAAAAATAAAAATAAAATAAATAAAATAAAATTCCTCACCACATTGTCTTCCTATCTTTAGTATGTTACATCAATGGCTACCTATGCAACTCATCATACTATAAGATTCAATCACCCTAATAGCTTCACACGTAACTAAACAGTACCCCCAATTTTTTTATTTTTATTTTTTTATCCTCTGTAAAAAAATGAAATAGATCTAAAAATGTAAAGAGGAAATGGTGAATCGACACATATATACAATACATATATGTATCAAATTTTTTTCAAAAAAAGCAAAATTAAAATAAATTAATGTTAGTTAATGATTTGAAAACAAAAATCCAACCATTGACAAGTGACAAGTGTTTGAAGAAACTAGATAATGCCCATTTTGGTTGGAGAGAAAGAGAGAGAGAGAGAGAGAGAGAGTGCACAAGAGACAAAAGGAGGAACCAAAATGAAAATAAAGGCAAAAGGTTCCCATGCAAAACTAGAACCAAATGCAAAAAACTTTCAGTTCATATCTAACTTCTTGTCCCACCTGCACCAGCAAACCCTCATTTCTAGTTTCCTTTTCACACAAATCCAATCCAATCCCAATCCCAATCCCAATCCCCACCTCCAAGCCAAACTATGCTTCTTGTTGTACCTCAGGCTCTCAGCTAAAAAGCTGTCCCTAAAGTGACCTGTAGAAAAACCAAAACCTGTCTAATTTCTTGCATGACCCCATTTTGTCAGCTTCTTGGGTTATGACTCTCTCTCAGTGTGAGAGTGGCTTGTCAAAGCTGATCCAAACTTACACTCCCACTCAAAAATACCACTAAAACCCATCTTGAAACCGGTTGATCGACGATGGATCCAAATTTTGCTGTGTCAGCCCCGTGTAGCTCCTACTCCAATTTAATCCCTCGTCCTGATTGTGCAGTGACATGTCTATACTTCCACCACCACCAACACTATGTCCCACTGGAGCACCAATGCAAGTGTAATTGGTATCTGGTGGTGGTGGTGCAGCGGCGGCGTAGTTTGGGTTGGGGTGACCATATTGCGTGTTGCTGCCGCCGGAGAGGACATGGCCTACGAAGCAATCGTTCACCGGATAAGAGGAGACGGGGCGTGAAGGAGATGTGTATATGTATGACTGATGCGGTGGCGGTGGTGATGGTTGTAAGAAGGTAGATGAAGAACCAGGAAACAGTCTTGTTGAGTAAAAAGGTAGAGATGGATCACCCATATTGCCTGTTTGATGATAGCCTCCGTGTGGGACTGATTGGCCTCTGCTAAGATTCTCATACAATCAATTTAGTGAAGAGGACAAGCAACAACAATAAAAAATAAAGAATCAAAGAAAGAGGACTCTGTGCTGTGGTATTGAATAATGAAGTATAAATGGGTATCTTCTTTAGTTCAAAATAGTTCGTGAGTGATTAATTATCTCAATTGTTGTTGCTATAAAGATTTTAAAACACAATATTTGAGGAACAAGAATATGAACTTTTGATTCTTGAAAAGTAATGGCAAAATGGATTGATCAGGGTTTTAAATATTGGGATTTTTAGATTTTGAATACCAATATATCGGCTAATACTCTCTACTGGTATTGCCTTGATTTGAAAACACTATTTAGGCGATCATATGAATTTTCTTTTTTGGTGTTCAATGATCTTGAAAAGAAAAAGAAAATAAAGAAAGAAAGAAAGAGAAACTAAAACAAACCCTAGGTGATGAGCAGCTTGGGCAGCCAGACTATCGTTACTGAAGACCAGCTGACGAGCCCGGTTCAGTGTTTCTGTCTCCCTCTCTGACCGAACCACAAAACACACACAAATCAAATCAAACACTAACAATAACAATAACACACCCCCACCAAGAATTCAGCGACAAGAAGTGGAATGGAAGGACAATGGTTGACATGACAAGATTGACATGACCACCCTTCCATGGGCAAATCATTGACTAACAATTAGATGCCCTATCTGTAATCAAATCGTGAACTTTTCATCTTGCTATTAATTGATATATCAATCAATATTATTTAATTTGAACTGATACATAATTATATTAATGATATTAATTTCTTATTTTTTTATTTTTTTTATTTTTTTTATTAACTAATAGAATAGAAGAAATTATATTGAAACTAAGGCCTCGTTTGGCAACCGAACTTTTTAACCAAAAAGTTAAAAAGTTATTAAATTAGTTAAAAACCAATAACTCATACAAAAAAGTCAAAGATTCTCTTTTCTCTCTACTTTTTGCACATCTTTTCGTAAAAAGTCAAAAAATCATTCTAAATATACTAGTTTTTTTTAGTTCGTATTTTAGCCAAATAGCTAAAAAATTACTAAATTAGTCTATTCTCAAACGGAGTCTAAAAGAGGAACCAAATACAAGAAAAAGGCATGAGGAAGATTGTATCCCAACTAGGTGACCAATCATATGCAATTCCACACACAATGAGAAACATGGTTGATACTTTTTGAAAAGTGAATTAAAAGTCATTTCTTAAGTTTTAACTTATTTCCTCTCTTACATAAAAAAGTTTAAAAGCAAAAATCAAAATCAAAAATCAAAAAGTCAGTTTTTAAACATCTTTTCAAAACACCCCTAATATATATCATTATTTAAAATCATGTATAGCATAGGATCTTTTATCACAAAATTTTCTATGTCATGTGTTAAACTATTTAGAAATATTTATACTTGGAGATTTTTATATTTTGAAATAACTACTACGTGTTTCAAGACATAGGAATTAAAAAATAAAAATAAAAAAAAATCAAGTACTAAAGAAACTTTGTCCAACAGATGTTATGGGTTGTTAACACATTCATATATATGTAATTTATATTTTAAACCAAAAAATAAAATTAAAATTAAAAAAAAATTATGTTTATATATTTTTAAGTTAGAGGAAGAAAAGGGCATGCCTTGGCGGTGGCGATTCATGTGTCCTCCAAGGGCTTGAGACTTACAAAACTTGAGAGAGCAAAACCTACACTCATAGACCTTCCCATTCTCATCTTTCTCATCCTTCCCGCCGCTTTTCTTTTTCCTATGCCCTGCAACCAAAAAAAAAAAAAAAATGCTATATAAAGCAACTTTGATGTGTCTAATCTCATAAACAAAAGCAAACCCTAATTGCCCTAACATTGAAGCTCACAATCTGCTTACTTTTTTATGGTTTTGAATTTAAAGCTTCAAATAAACTGTAGTAAGCAAACAAAATTGCACTCTTTCATACCTAGAAAAGAAAAAAATTGCACTCTCCCATACCTAGAAAAAAAAAAAAAAAAAAAAAATCCATTTCAGCAGCTTTGACAAGCCTTTTTTCTTTTCTTTTCTTTTCTTGGTACTGAGAAACTAGAAGGAAAAAGTGATTAAACTGTTTTAGCCAGTTAATAGTAGTCAAAGAAAGTAATATACCATCAGATGAAGAGCTGTCTTCAATAACATGTTTGCCATCTCTACTGTAATCATCAGGCAAGTAGTTGAGGTCTAAAGGGTTTCCCTCAGGTCTCCTGAAAACAAAGTCATAGAGAGAGAGAGACAGAGAGAGAGAGAGAGAGAGAGAGAGGGTTAGATAACAAGAGATAGGGAAGAAGAAGAACAAGAAGAAGAAGATAATGAAGGTATTGTGGGGGTGAGACCTACATGGCACCGACAGAGAGAGACAGAAGATATGAGGTGAGAAATCTGTAGAGATGGGAGATAACTAAAGCTTGGAAATTTATAAGACTTCAGTTTGAGACTGCAATTTAGAGGCTAGTTGAGTGATGGTGGAGAAAGGAGCTTGAAAGTTCTCTATCAGTTCCTCTGTCATCCCCTCTGAAGACAAAAATGCATTTCTCTCTCTCTATATATATATGTCCTTGCTATTGAAAGAACACGGGACAGTGGGTCTCGTGACTTTAAAAAGGAGAATGGGGAGGGGGTAGAAGCTGGGAGGTGGATGGTAGTGGCATTTGGTTAGGTTGATAGAGCAAGAGATTGAGAGGGACGTTGCTTAAGATGTTTTGGCTAATTTTGGGACTAGCTCTATTGCCCTACAACTAGCAGAGATCATATGCCCAATGATAAAATAAAGTATGTATTTGATGAAGAAGAGTAACCATAGCAAAAAATGAAGTCTCATCGTCCACTCCAACTAATTTCGCAGCAAAAATAAAATAATTTGATAATGTAAAAAATATATATATTACAACAAGAATAATTAAAATAAAAGAGAGAAATTATATAAGATGTTTTGTAATTTGTCATTTATCAGAAGTACTATATAAATAATATTACATAACATTTCATGATTTGTTAATAATTTTTCATTTGATAAATCAAGATCTTTCATGATTATTTTATTATTTTATGAAATGAGGGGCTCTTGTTGTGCCCTTTGGTAGAGTTCACTTCAGGCCCATTTTTATAAGAGTATTGAAATCTAAAAGCTATATTTAATTTTTAAATCTAATAATGTAATAATCAATTAAAATATTTAAGACAATTTTTTTTCTCATATCTTTTCTAATCATTTCTCTCACACATCATTGGACTAGAAAATGGGTTTATATGTTAAATAAATTATTCATATAAAGAATTAAATTAATCACATATTCAGAATCATATAATCAAATTACATATCTTTTTTTAAAAAAAGAAAAGAAAAGATGATTCATTATCAAAATCACATTTATCATCTATTTTTGTAAGACATTGATGATTTGATCATTTGGGTCCAATTGTGCCTTGGGGCACATCCTGCTCTCTCCTTTCTCTGTCTCCTTCAATGTCATTTTCTATTCTATTGGATTTTATTGGTTTATAGAGTTGTTCATATGAGCAAAAATATTCCTTGAACTAATAAGATTCAAAGGGACATAGAATGTATATCCAGATTCATAAAAATGCATGAAAAATAATGTATGGTCTAGTTAGGTGTGAAAAAATTATATATATTTTTTTTATGAGCAAAAAAACTTTATTGAAGCAACAAAATATAAAAATATGGATTAGATCAATAAAGTAAGGACAAAGAGCAAATAACATGATAGTGCTACCCTTCATCCCAACAAGATTAGCACCAAGAACAGCACCCCTATCATTTGCTAACTCTAGCTAAGGGTTATTGAGAAACCAACACCCCAGAAAAGAACACAAACAACTACAGTGGGTAAAAACAAAACAATACAACAGAACACCCACACCCCTAGCAGCCTCCCATAAGATCTACATATCGTTCAAAGTAACCCTTCTCCTCATTGCCTATACTGATGCAATGTTCAACAACCAATAGCTCTCATTTGTTGTAAGTTATTAATAATATCCTGTACTAAGGGCTGGTTTGACCTAGCCTAGAAAAGACGAAAAATTAAAAAGTTAAAAAGTTATCACTATTCACAAAAAAAATTATACAAACAAAAGTACAACCCAAAAAGTCATTGACGTGATGGTACAGTCTGAGCCAGATGGTACAAATTACCTAATCAGCTGCACAAAAAATTTACAAAAAATGGTGTTGTTCGGCCCGTGGGGGCCATTACGGGTCTCGTTTTGATAATCGAAACTGTTCAATGTGTAGAACTCGTCGAGTGCTATATTCTTGTAAAAAATCGCGTTGATCGGATATGGATAGTTATGTGATCAAATCAGATTTTTTTCAATCGTTTATTTTTCATCGTCCATTAATTTCATACAAAACTATTTTGATCACATAGCTGTCGATATCTGATTAAAGTGATTTTTCATAGCATATAGTACTCAACGAGTTCTATATATTGAATGATTCAGATCATTGAAATGGGATCCGTGGTGGGCTCCCACGGCCCAACAGTACCCGTGAAGTCTCATGCATCATTTCAACCAAGCCGTACTATCCTCCTACCGCCTGTCACTGATGAGTCTACAATGTAGGGCTAAAAACGTAATTTTTTTCATTTTATACAATATTTTAATACACATTTTTTTGTAAAAAGATAAAAAGTTATCCCAAACAGCTATCTTTTTTTCCTTAACTTTTTAGTCAAAAAAGTCAAAAAGTGCACTCATTTAGGACACCTCAAACAATCCCTAAATACGAAAGCTCCTATGACTGAGCTTTAACCTAAAAAGCAATTCTTACCTTGATCAATTCACAGAGTTCATTCAATTAGAAATGTTTCCCATTAAAGACCACTTCATTTTTGATTTTCCATAATGACCACATGATAGCCATCGGGATTGCCTTCCAAATTTTATTTTCAAATTTTCTCCATTTATATCCACTCCACCATTGTAGCAGCCCATTAACATTATCAGGTGTCACCCAATGTACCCCCACCAATTCATCAGGCATGACCACACCTGTCAAACATTAGAACACACAGTTGCTAAACAACAGAAGTACACGATTGACTATTTCTATTGTATGCTTACAGAACACACAATTGACAAAGGCATTTTGGTTCAGCACACCAATTTTTTTGTAGAAACCCCATAGTCTTCAATCTCCCATTCCAAGCCAACCAGCTAAGAAATTGGACTTTTGGTGGAACAATATTATTCCACAGTAGCTTAGTGACCACCACAAAATTGCTAGGCACATACAGGTTATAGGCCCTGTTTGGTAGAGCTTATTTAAGTTTTTAGCTTAATTTAAGCTATTTTGATGTGTTTGGTTCGGTTTAATAATACAGCTTATAACTTTTTGTAAGTCAAAAATCAACTTATTCTTTGAGTGAGGGAGGAGAAGCTTAATTTATAAGTCAAAAATCAGCTTATGTTCACAGTTATAAGTTATAAGCTGTTAGGCTATAAGTTATAATCACTTTTCCACAGTTCTACTAAACGGGGCCATAGAGGGAAGACATACTAAACTGACCTGATGGACATGCCAACCACTTCAAATAATTCTCCCTAATTTAAGTCATCAATTCCACTTGATTCAGAACAGTGCATAATCTTACCAACTCCTCAGACTCCCAAGCAAATAAGGATCTTCTAAAATTGAAATTCCATCCACCTGAGTTCCTTTTCCTTTCAATCATCATGCTCAAAGATAAATCCTTCTCAATTGATAAACTATAAAGCCTAGGAAAGTCACTCTTGATACAATGATTCCCCAGCCAATGATTATCCCAAAAATGAATTCTAGACCCATTGCCCTCAACTGTCTGTGAATTTTCCAAAAAAAGGCTCAATAAGAGAAGGTTTGATTGATCTACATTCATTTCTAGATTTGATTAGAGATGTGAAATTGTAGTGCATTGGCCCTATCTCATTTTTTATTTTTATTTTTTTGATCGGAAAAGTAAAAATTTTATTAAAAATATGAAATTAAAGATTCAAGGAAAACAGAATGCATTGAGAGAGATTCGAAGGGTGCAAACTCCCCTATTACTGCTACTCACATCTACACAACCAACTGCTTAGCCTCACGAGTTTTTAAAATTTTAATAGAACAGAAAAAATTTAAAATGAAGACGGATTAATTTTGTAAATTTAAGAATGACAGTAGTAATAAAAATGAGAGATGATATGATATATTATAAATGAAGAGAGTTAAATAATACAAGATGAGAAACAGAGAAACAATAATCTCATATTATCATAAATAGGTTCTTTTTGTAGGGAAAAAAAATCTCAAAATAATTAAGTTTTTAATTTTTTCTTCCGAGAACAAATATTTGGCAAAGCTTTTGAACCCACCTTAACAGCACAAACTCGAGATATATTCGACCATCTGCTAGATTCATATATTGAGTCAAATAAAATATCAAAACTCAAATCTAAAACCTTCTAAATAAAATGAAAAATCTTGTGACAACAAAAAACACTTCATGAAATTTCACACAGAAAAATGATATCCAAGCCTATTTTTTAGACTTATTGGTTGAGGATTAAAGAAAATATAAGAGAGAATGTTGTCTTTAAAATCTAATTGATTGTCATATCATTGAATTGTGAGCTTCTATTTCCATACACTATTTTCTCTCTTTTCACACATTTAATGATTTTTTTTATTACATTTTTGTCCTAAAATTAACTTACCAAAATATCCCTTTCCCAAAATCCTAACTCTAACTCTCCCAAACCATCAATTTCCATCATCATCATCCATGGCCGTCTCCTCTTTCCCACCATTGCGACCCTCCTTTGTTTGAGAAAAAGATCGACGCACCACTGCGATCTCCCTCCGCTTTCATTGCCTACCACCGCGATCTTCCTTCGCCTTCGTCTCTCACTGCCACCAAGTGAATCGCTGCCGCCTCCATTTTCTACCCCCTTCGCGATTGTGAGAGAGAAAGAGAGAGAGAGAGGGATCGATCTCAAGGGGAGAGGGTTGAGGTCGCGATGGTGGCACCAGTAACAACCCTACTTCGTAATTAAGAGAGAGAGAGAGAGAGAGAGAGAGAGAGAGAGAGAGAGAGAGAGGAAATCATAGATCGATTTCGGCGATGAAGGTTGCGGAAGTGGTGCCGGCGGGTGGAGGGAGGGGTGGGGGTAAAAACTGGAAGTGAAAGGGAGGGGAAGAGGTGTCACCAGTGGCGGCAACAGCAGTGGTGGCTTGTTAAGTTGAGGGTTTGGAGGATAAAGATGGTAAGGGTATTTTTGGTATGGTAGAATATGTATTGAGTGAAAGTTGATAATTTAAATTTATTTAGTGTGTGTATTGAGAAAAGATATGAAAAGAGAGGAAGTAGTGTGTGGAAATAGAATTTCTCTATTAAATTTAAAAATTAAATCTAATTTTTTATTTTAAATAACAATGCTCTTTGACATATGTGCCCATGGGAGCTAATGTTTCCGTAACCTTGTGTATTTTTGCAGCCATCACTCCGACATAGGTGGACCTCACACTTAAAAGAAAAAAATGGCCATGGAAATGACAATTTCGTATATTGACATGCATATTATACAAGTATGAGATGATCATATATCACTACAAGAATTAATACTTTTGGCAACAAAAAAATTAGTCGCTAAAAGTCTATTTTTGGTCGGTAAAAGTTATTCGCGTCCAATTTTTTTGGTCGCTACTTTGGTCGCCAATTGAGGGTCGGCAAAAGTAATTCGCGACCAAAATTTTGGTTGGTGGGCAAAAGTTGGATTTGCCGACTAAATTTTTGGTCGCTAAATATTTAATTACCGCGACTAATTCATTTTGTCGCTAAAACACTTTGGTTGCAAAAAGTGATATTTTCCCGACCAAAAAGTTTGGTCACCAATTATCACATTCAACTACCAAAAAGTTTGGTCGCCAATTGTGGCATTCCACGACCAAAAAAGGTGGTCGCCATTTGTTACTTTTCGCAACCAAAAATTTTGGTCGGCAAAAGTGAGTTTCCACGACCAAGAGCTATTTTGGTCGGCAATAGATGTATTTTTTGCGACCAAAACTCTTGGTCGGCAATTGTCATTTTTTGAGAAAAAAAATTATTTTGGATGTCACGACTAATAAATTGATCGCCAAAGCAAGAAAACAATACACCTGTAATTCCTAATAATTCAATCAATCCATAATAAACCTATAATTTTAAAACATCATTCAAATTAACTGAATCATTAACATTCGACACAATACATAATTCATTAACATTCGACACAATACAACTATTCTAAGTTTTCATTCACAAGTCACATCCATCTAGCATAACAATTTGAAACATAACTTGTGACATGCTCAGCCATTTACTTCATTCTAACTATTCTAAGTTTGCTAATTTTAAGACTTACTTCAGATGCTTTAGCTTTTGGGAGAGTATATACCCAGACCATCCAACAAAAGAGTTATCTGACCATGATGAGGTAAATAACTGAGCAAAGCTGGGGTGAAGAGTCCACGCATTTAGGAACCTGAAGGGTTTTGGCCCCCAATCTCTGGTATCCTCCATCATTAATAAAGGGCAATGGTCTGAGATTAGCCTGGGTAAACCCCACAATTTCATTGAGAAATTAATCATCCATTCAGGACTTAGTAAAATCCTATCAATTCTGCTCCATTTCTCTGATTCTTGGGCATTGCACCATGTGTACCTCCTCCCATGAAGTGGTAAATCATGAAGCTCGCTATTGCCAATGAAGTCATTAAGATGCTTCATGCCCCTGTCTCTCCTAGAGCAACCAATTCTTTCACTAATATGGCTAATTTCATTAAAATCACCACCCATGCACCAAGGAAGAGGGAAAAGGGATTTAAGCTTTAGGACATTAGCCCAAAAAGAAGATCTGGCCCCAACATCATTGGGGGCATGAATATTAAGTAGGACACAGTCAAAAGTGTTGTATAAGGAACCTGAGAGTAAGATGTACCTCTTATTACAGCAGCAGCCAGAGAGTGTGAAAACTGCAGGATCCCAAATACATAGCAGGCCTCCGGCTGTTCCTTCAGGATCAACAGACATGAACTCCATATTTTTGCTTCCCCATAGCCTTCTAGCATCACCATCTGATATGATTGCCCTTTTGGTTTCTTGAAGAAAAACAATATCAACATTTTTGTCTTTTAGGAGTCTCTTGATTCTACCCTGTTTCTCCACCTTCCCCATACCCCTGATATTCCAAGATATTAACTTCATGATAAAACCATTGATTCACTCACAAGGCCCTAATCTTTCCCTTTACTGCTGGGCCTTCCCATCCTTGGCAATTTTCTCCTTGTCTTTAAGTTCTAGTTTAGCAATTTTGTTGAGCACAATGCCTTCCTTCCCATGGTAGTCTATTCCAAGAGACTTCCCTAACTGAATTGTAGCTGCAGCTTCAGAAAGGATCTGATTTCTCAGAGAAGAGTTACTTGCAAATGAATTAGACTGGGCTAGAGCTTTAGCAGCAGGTCTGTAGATAACAGATTTAGTAAAATGCTTCTTGGCTGCATTGTTTGAGTACGCATGAATCCTAGCAAAGCTAGTGAACCCCTCCATTTTTGACTTCATCTTCCCTTTATTCCTGAGGTTTCGTTGGTGATCTTTGCTGGAGACTGAAATTGAGTCTTGGACTAACTGTGTATGAGCAGAATTATTTCTCATACACGGGTTTAAATTGGACAAAGGGCCAGAGAGAAACCCATTTACTGATGCAGGTACGTACATTGGGCCTACTAGAAGAGCCATTGGAGTGAATGGGCCTGCAATTAAGGGGCTGTTTTTCAAAGTGGGCCAAGTCCACTTTATTGATGTCCTGTATACTTTTTGCATACCTTCATCAATAAAGATTTTCTTTGCCGATCAAAAAAAAAAAGCCATTTACTTCATTCCACCGTAATGTGACATGCTCTCCTCCAGATAGTCCAGACCCTGAGAAATCAAGGGTGAAAATAGTAATGTTTGAAGGCAACAATATTATAGCCGCTTCACTGGCATCTGCCCTGCATCCACTGGTAAAATCAATACAGACAGCTTGTTAGTAAAACAGATTTACAGAATGAATTTGTTAAAGCTAATTCAATTATCTACCAGCTTAATACTCATCCATACTATGACAGAAAGCAAGTGAAAGACCTATATTTTTAGAAAAATTATTAGACAGACCTTTGATATTCCATATACTATCCTTACTTTTTCTATAAGAACAATCTCTACTCATCCACATTTATTTTCTAACCTGTATTAATACACAAGGCAAAGCCTTTCCTTCTGGACGAACAATAAGCATGTAATGACTATCCTCGGCTGTTTGTAACTTGCAGAATGATAAAAGGCCAAAAGCTAGTGAGGAATTTAAAGAATTTGAAGATGAGGAAATAAATTTAACATGATCAAGGATGCGTAGAAATATAATAGACTAATAGTCGTCAATAAAAGAAAAAGAATAATGACAGGAATTTCTCTATAACTTGGTTTAAAAAAATTATGATTAAAAAGTTTATGATCAAACTTGATCACTTGCTAGAAATTAAACTTCTCATAATGCAGTAGCACATCAAGAATTGGGTGGTGGCCCCTTGGTGCCTTTTTATATAATAGTTTTTACTTGTAAAAAAATGCAATAGCACATCAAGAATGGATCATCTTGTCTATGAACATAAAAGAGAGATTACTTATCAAAAAAAGAATATAAAGCGGTATACACAATATTCATAGTTTCACAAGCCTGTGAGCCAAGCATGTGCGAAAAGTCCGTTGAAAATTGTTAACAGCAACAGAAAAAATAGAGAACAAAATTTTAAATAGATCCAAGCTACGCTTTCTTATGTCATCAAATTTGTTACACAGTGCAGTGAATTGCACAGTGGAATCAGATTATGACAAGTTACATATATCAGTTACAGTATTGGGATTTCATAGGGGGGAAAACTCGAGCTTCTGACTAAGGTTTGATAGATCAAATTGACTTCCCAATTTTGGATTGCTTTCCAATGTTACTATCTGGACTACTACTGAAGCTTCTTCAGACTCTTGAAATGCTACATTCCATTAGTCTTGCAAAAAAAAAAAAGTCAATAAATTTCATTTTGACAGGAACAGATGATTTACATTGGTAGAATTGCAAGGTTGCAACTAGTTTGCTAATTTAACAGATGATTTACATTGGTTTGTTATGGACAGAAAAACTAACAAGTGGTATACACAATATTCATAGTTTCACAAGCCTGTGAGCCAAGCATGTGCGAGAAGTCCGTTGAAAATTGTTAACAGCAGCAGAAAAAATAGAGAACAAAATTTTAAATAGATCCAAGCTACCCTTTCTTATGTCATCAAATTTGTTACACAGTGCAGTGAATTGCACAGTGGAATCAGACTATGACAACAAGTTACATATATCAGTTACAGTATTGGGATTTCATAGGGGGGAAAACTCGAGCTTCTGACTAAGGTTTGATAGATCAAATTGACTTCCCAATTTTGGATTGCTTCCCAATGTTACTATCTGGACTACTACTGAAGCTTCTTCAGACTCTTGAAATGCTACATTCCATTAGTCTTGCAAAAAAAAAAAGAGTCAATAAATTTCATTTTGACAGGAACAGATGATTTACATTGGTAGAATTGCAAGGTTGCAACTAGTTTGCTAATTTACAAATTCCTACAATTCTTTTTGTTATGGACAGAAAAACTAATAGTAATTAGCTTTTGAATTCTTAGCAAGTTCAATAGTATCCTACCATAAACCAAAAAATGCTAAAATATAGGTACCACTTGAAAAATTACCCAAATATTAGATAATGTGCATGAATTGAAAGAACGAACTCAAAGGCTTGAGGCCAGTAGTGAAACGGCCAAGCAGAAAGCAGTTGCTCACTAGTTAATCATCATCAGTAAGCAGATTCACCCAAGAACCACCGAATGACTCAACATTCAAGAAACCATGTTTAAAATAATAGTAATGCTAGGTATCATGAAAAGTCTTTCATGAAACTGATCATGAAAGATTTGTGACCTTTGGATTACACTTAAAATAAAGCACCACACACTAATCAAGGTAATCTAAGGGTCACAGATTTTTCATGATCATTTTCATAAAAAAATTTTCATGATCCCTAACATTTCTCTTAAAATAAACATTTGAAAATTGTTACTTAAAATTGTTTTCAAGAAAATTTTCTTAAAACAACCCACCTTTGTTTTCCGAAAACAAAAATAAAAAATGGAACATTTTTTTTTAATTTCAAAAAAATGAAAACCAAAAAACAAAAACTTAATCAAACAGAGTGATTACTATCACTCTATATTAGGTAATGGACCCAGTCTATCTGTATTATGTCATAATTTCAGTATATACAAATTCTGGAAAATACAATGAGTCGGATTATATTAGGTAATGGACTTTCCATTGATCATTAGAGAGTTGAAGAGCAATATACGAATCATTGTAGAAATATTGAGAATAATTCAACACCTTTGAACGAGAAAGATGGCGCACACGGAGATTCATCTCACGCTGCTACTGCTCAGCCCAAGCTGCAACAGCCATATCACCCCGCTGGTCAAAAGCTTTGCGCTTTTTCATAAGCCACTCCATCCATGCTTGAGATGCTTGACAAACATAGCCATAAACACAACAAAATGAGAAACTACTAAGAGATGAAGGAACATTTAATTTAAGAAAGTTTTCTACAAGAAGAAATTCATCCCTCCAAAGAATCTACACTTCAAATGTATGGGAGTTAGACATATGTGTTTTGTTAAACTTAAAATTATGATCTGAAATCAACAAACTTTTGACTAAATAGAGGCAACAAAGAAAAACTAAATGTACAGGTTCAGTGTAAAAATAAATAACTCAAATCACTTTAGTCAAGATCTCAACTTATCATATGACCTTCAAGCAGTACCGGATCTATGTGAAGTGAGGTGCCCAGAGGAGAAAGAAATAAGAGAACAAACTATGACAGGGCCTTGCATCACGACTCCCAGCTCCATAATAATCTCACAGCTTAAAGTGAATCAAATAAAATATTGAAAGCAGCAACTGTTTCAATTGAAAACATGCCACCATAATATTCAGAGAACACAACCATCAAGAACTTGAAATTAAAAAGAACATGAAGAAAGAATTTGTACAGATGACACCAAATGGAAGATGTTGCATCTTGCATTTAATTATATCAAAGCACAAACACCTATTTATGGAAAGCTTTCCAACACAAAAGGAACAAATTAGGAATTTTACAAGCACACTGTGGACTTTGTCTTTGAGTAATTAAGGTTTTGGCATAAATTTGATCTTTATACACATTTTGAATTAGTATGAGTTGCCAGAGAAAATCTCATATTTCACATCATAATGTACTCTGTCGAAAGATGATAAATCTATTTGAGAAAATCATTGGCATTTCTTGTTGTTCCATTTATTTGTTGGTCATTCTTTGTTCGTTTTGTTTTTGTTTATTTGTTTATTTTTTTGTCCATGTTAATATAGAGGTAGTTGATATCCTTTCTTACCAAAGAAAAAATATTATCATAGAGTGGATGGTATATAAAGATTTTCAAAGTGAGAATTGATTTTGCAGCACCCTTTGTGTCATGCTTCATTTTGTTTTATTCCTTTTTCAATTTCATTTTTTATTTTGGCATACAATTTTCACAAATAGACACAAACGTCTAGTGTCAAAAAATCCCTACATTTTCCCCAACAAAATTCAAAATTGAAACTTTGCAACTCATAATAAAATATGATATTAACTGTTAAAATAATCAAAATTTCACCTTCATGGGGTTGACTCGATTATCAATATCATATTGCCTTCGCTTCTCCACATCCATGAGCAGTTCATAAGCTGCTTGAATCTTGATGAATCGAGCTTCGGCTGTTTCCCCTTCCTCAAGGGTCCCCTTACCATCATATACTTAGGACAGAAGAAATGATCAGTTTCATGTCTGTGACCAGATGCTAACTTTTCAACATGGATAGATAACAGAAATTCCCAAAGTGTTAGGATAAATAAACTATTGTGGCAGATTATACAAAATAAGATTTCCAGAAAAATTAGATACTACTAATTCATGGTTCAAAGTTACAACAGTATCCAATACTGAGTTGAGCTGGTGTCCATGTCGCACAACCGTTCTCTTATATTCTTATATGGTACATATTAACTATTGTGGCTTAGTCACTGTCCTACGAACCAGAAACACAACATACAAGGTGTTTTATAAGGATAAGTGATGAAAGCCAAACCGTCGACAGTTATTGATGAATTGAATTTGGAGTTATGAAGGTATATTTGGATGGCCAATGTGATCTAGATTCATAGCTCAGGTGGTGAAATCTAAATACGGGTTGAGCAATATTCATAGCAAAGTTCAACTGCTCAACCCCAACCACCACTAGTAGTTGTGCAAACAGAGGGCCCAAACTTATTTATATTAAGATCATATCTTTTCAATTTATTCAGGGCCTCGGGAAAGGATATCTATATCCACGTATATCAGTCATAAAATACAAGACAGTAACATTTAGCCATTACATGAGTAATAACAATAAGCATGTATTCATATAATTTATACAATGGGATAAGAAACTCAAAAGTCACGATTATGTTTATACAAGAATGTATATCAGAAAGAAAAAATAATAATAATCAGCACAAGAGGCAGCAAAATTATATGGATTCAAACTGTGAAAAGAACTTACATAAAATCCAAGGCCAGTAGGTAAAGAGGTGCCACAATGTAAAATGGATAATAGTACCACGTCATTGCAAGAATCAAACCAAAGAGAAGTTTAACTTTAGTTAGGGATCAAGTTCATTAGCAAATGTTGTTCAATAAAAAGTTCATTAGAAAGTAAAATCATAATTTTTCCAAGCATAGCGCACTACAGAAACTAAACAGAATTGGTTAATGGTAACTTTTGGAAACAAAAACAGAGTAAAAGTAAGAGAATATTGTTTGGTTAAAGATTTATAAACTCATCAAGCCTCTAGAGTTCCAGTATCAATTTGCATCACAAAGCTAGAAAGTTTGTAGGCAATAAACTTACTTGTGAACTCATGTGCTTCTTCTTCTCCTTTTCCCTTTGATGCCATTCATATATTGGGGTGAAATCGCAATCTTCCAACTTCTGAATTACATGGTTTTTCTCAAGTATTTTTCTCCAGTCATTCATAAAATTCTCTTTGAATGCAGGTTTGTTCATATAATCAGTATCTAACATCACTGCATACATTGTTGCAACCTGCAAAAAAATTCATAAATAAACAGACAATGTGGATGACTATGAGGAAGAGAACTTCCAAAATGAATGCAATAATAGTGAAAACTGAATTAATGAATAGAAACAAATAAGCTATACATTACGATTAAGAGTCAGAAAAGATTAAGAAAGAGAGAAACCTATCGCTGCAATACAAAACATATATATATATATATATACATAAACCCTAAAACCATCGTAAAACCCCAAATCATTTAGTTGTTATGAAAAGAAGAAATCAAAACACAGTTAACCAAATTACCCAATATCTCCTCTCAAAACCTATTTTTTGTTTGGATGGTGAGCTGTACAACCAAGAACACGAACCTTAGAATATAATTCAAAGACAAACCAAAAAACATTTCAGTACACAATCACATAAAAACTCGAGTATCGGACCTTTACAATCAGGAATATCAACTACATTATGAGTACCCTCTTGATAGAGCCCAATGAGAGGGTCGGTGGATGAGCCCCGAACTGCGAGTTTTGCGCGGCACCTCCATCCCCACTGTAAAGGGCAAAAATGTTATCAAAACCCTAATTATGAAAAAACCCAATTGAGAAAGTAAACAAGGAGGAGGACATACGAGTCTACAAGTATCGAAGGTGAAGTCAGATGCGCCGTGTTTGTTGAAGAAGTCGGTGGCCTCGTCGAGGATGATCGGACGATAGAGATTGTACTCTTGAGTGCAACCAGAACATCAGCAAAAACAAAGCGATAGTCGTTGTTGTAATGAGATCCCGAGAGAGTCGACAAGTGTAGAGAAATAGAGACGTGAAGTGGTGGTGCGTACGATTGGAAGTGAGGGCACTGGAGGGCGCAAGTTAAGGAGGGTAAGGCGGTTGGGTTAGGGTTTAGTGGCGGCGGAGCTGGAGGGGCGGCGAGGCAGCTGATGAGAGAGGCCGATGGCCGACCTGAGACTCAGAGGAACGAAAGAGCCATTCTCGTATGGCAATGGCGGGAATGGATAATCTCATTTCTTACGAATTGGTATTTATTTCCTCCCTCCATGTTTCAAATTTCCCTCCCAAATTTTTCGCGACCAAAAAGGTACCTTCGCCGACAAATTTTTTAGTCGCCAAATCTCAATCAACGGCGACTAAAATATTAGTCGCTAAAAGTACTAATTTGGCGACTAATTTGTTTTGGTTGCTGAAAATAAGTTTTTGCCGACCAAATTTTTGGTTGTCAAAAAATATGTGACCTTTCGCGATCAAATTTGTAGTTGGCTGGCAAAAATATACCACTTTCTACGACCAACTCATTTCTTGGTCGCCAAAATATAACCTTCTGCGACCAATAATATTTGGTCGCCAAATGTCATTTTTTTGTGACTAAAATTTTTTTGGTCGGCAAAAGTGGTCGCAAAATGTGTAAATTCTTGTAGTGTATGTACACATGTGAGTCTATAACTAAAGCTGTTCCTCAGCAGCTGTGTAAGATTATACATTACGGTGGTTTGTTCATGAGATTGAGGTGTGTGATTAAGACGTAAGATTTGGATACTATATTTAATAAATTTATTAATTCATCGTTTGGTTGAAAAAATAAAAATTAGATTAATAGTAAAATAAATATCATTTCTAGCCAAACAACATAAAAACTATTTATTTCAATTCTAACAATTCATTTCATTACAATTCCTCTTTATTCAGTGAGTCAAAACAAACACTCCTAAGGACAATCAAGACAATAAGTAGACCTATACACATAATTGTGTCATATAATAATAATATTATCAATAATGATTCAGAACACTAATTTTGATACGCTAATGAAGCACTAATAACATGACAAAAAAAAAAAAAAAAAAACTAAGATCTAAACATCACATCACAATGAATGAAACTTATTGTCAACTCATTAAAGCCGATAGAACTTAACAATTAGAGCTTCAAAGCATTTTTTTAATATTATATTATTATTATGGGCATGGTAGAGATTATGATGATCCATAGCTTTTAACGCCTCAGCTGGTGGGGCTGGTGGGTATCATAAGTCTCTGACCTTTTGCCGTATAACGTATCATTGAATTGTTTTTATCGATATTTGAATCTATTAATATTAATGCTGTGGAAGTTTGAGAATGATTGGTGTACTAGCTTTTATTTCAATAGATAGAAATAGAATAGAGATAGCCAATGAAATGAAATAATTGAGCCTTAATTTCAGCCATATAACTCGTTTTGTCGATTCCATTGATCTTTTTTGCAATTCCTTCAAAACAGGACTCCTCTAGTATCAGACTCAGAAGTAACCCTTCGCAAATTGAAAGTGTTTGAGATGGTTCTTTCAAGTGTTGATGGAGAGTCACCTCAATAAATTAAGGTTTTAAAAATAAAAATTTAAAGATAAAATTATTTTTAAGAATGAAATATTTATATTTTTAAAAGCATCTTTGTTATATTTTTAGCATGAAATTGGATATTTAGTAATTAATTACTATCTTTTTGGGATCAAAATTTGTCTAAAAAAATAAATCTTTTTAGGACTAAATTACTTTAGTTTAAAAGTGTATTTATTAGTGAAATTTTTAAAATTTTGTTACTAAAACTTTTCTTGACTTTTCAATACAACATTTTAACAATTATCTTCGCAGGAATTGATTCTCAAATATTTTTTTAAACAAATATTTCAATTTTGAAAACAAAAAGATTTAACCTCTAAAATTTTTATTGGTTGTAGTGAGTGCAGAATATGATAGTTAGGATGACGTCGGATTTTGAGGTTTTTTCTTATCTTTGTTTAACATTCATTTAATTGGTTTTTGTTTTGTTTAGATAAGATTTTTTTTTTTTGTTTTGGGCTTGATCTTTGGATAAGATATGTTTTATATAGCCCTTTATTGTTTGGACCCGTCAATAATTAAGGTTTTTATTTGAGGGATCAAAGTTGTTATACACAGTGCCGGAGGGAGTGAAGGCCCAAGGGGACAGGTGGCTCTTGGATTTTGGAATTATTATTTTCTTTTTTTAAATTTTACAGACATAAAGAAAATATTTTAAATAAAAAAATTGTAAAAATATTATTAGAGTGAAATGTTAATGACATTTTAAAAATTATGAGAATAATAATGATTATTTTAATTGAAAAAGAAGAGACTACTATAAACTATATTATCTATGAAAATTTTTGAATGTAATGGTGATGTCATTATTATTGACATGTAAGTATAAATAATCTCACTATAAAGATATGAAATTTATTGAATTGTTAGTAACATTTAATATGTGAGGTTCACTCTCTATGTGTTTATGTACTATTAGTTGGTGATATCACATATCAATGATGACGTGTTATTACCATTATATTGAATTTTTAATCAAATTTTGTATGAAATTTTTTTTATCATTACATAATTTATTTTAAGACTTGTATCCATATATTTTTTTGTATTGTCCATGATACATTTGTTACAAATAACATTATTTTTTTGGTATTTCTCAAAATCACATAAAAATTTACGTGAAATATTTTTGTAAAAATTTTTGATATTGTAATTAATAAGTGTCTCCTCTAATTTAATTTTCTGATTATACATCAACAACATGAAATAAATGGTGAAACAAATTTGGTAATAAATATTAAAGATTATGCTAATGCAAAGAGCAGTAGTGGCCCAAGATTTCTAAAAATTTTAAGCTAAAAATCAAAATAAGACTTATTTTATTAGGTTTTTAAAAAATTAAAATATTTAATAATAATTTTTTATTTAAAAAAATTGTAAGCCTTAAAAAAATCACGATCAAGACCGACTGTCAACTTTTGATTCAAATGCTTCAGGTTCCGGAAGCCGCATTTGACTGGAGTGTAGTGCAATGCCTACTATTAATGATATTATATTTTTAAGTCAATATTTCTCTTTTCTTAGCTTAATTACGATAAAAAGGATTGTATTTCGACCCGCTCATAAGTTGACTACAAATGTAAACACTGCTAATGTACATCGCTTTAACATCTAATGCTATGGTTTTCTAATTCTCAAAAACAAAACAAAACAAAACAAACAAACAAAAAAAAAAAAAAAAAACAACGTAACAAAAAAACAGTACGTAGCAACGACAACCAAAACAACTATGAGTCTCCTCATTCCAAAAAGTAAAGACTGCATGGAACAAAGTGCTGCTACCAGTAGACTGGAATATCTTCACTACCCTCCATATTCAACTATTCAACCAAAATTTTAGAATTAAAAGAAACAATATAATATGGCTACATTGATGTGAGGCTCTGCCAGCTATGACAATGGGTGCACACATTGCTAGCTTTCTAGCTCTGGGAGTTGCTAGAAATCAGCTCCAAAACCCGCACCAATAGTCAGAACTTTTTTTTTTTTTTTTTAGTGATTCATTCAGGTAGTAAAGTTAACATAACAAAGTTTAACAAAATAAGTCCTGGGCAATTAAGCCCTTCTAGAGCTAACATTCATCATGTCAGCAATTGACAAAACAGAGATGGAGCTGGGTGGATCTTCTAGGACTACGAGATGTTCTTGTTGGTTAACTCTCAAGTTGGCCATAGCATCTGCACTGTTGTTGGTTTCCCTGGGTATGGCTTCAATTGAACACTGGTATCTACGTAGGCGGAAGTTTGCATCTTCAATAAGTGCTCTGTAAGGTGAGTTTGCTGCTGCTCCATCTCGAATGAGCTCCATAACTTGCTTGGAATCTGTCTCAATTTGAATGCTTGCCAAGCCTTTCTGAATTATAATGGTTAGACCTCTGTAGATGCTCCAAAGCTCGGCCTCCAAACTGGGGCAGCTGCCCAAATATCCATAAAATCCCCAAACCCAAGTGCTTGCTTCATCTCTGAGTAGTCCACCATAGCCTGCTTGTCCAGGGTCTCCTTTGGAGCTTCCGTCAGCGTTCAATTTAAGCTTACCTGCAATGGGACAAGACCAAAACATTAGTTAAGGATCCTTATAGTGTGGGTTCAAGATAGCCTTGAAGGCGTCTTGAGTCTCCCTAGCTTGAGTAAGTATGAGTTTGGCACTAATGTGGGGAAGTTTGGTGTGGTTCTCAAATACTTCCTTGTTCATCTCCTTCCAGATAAGCCATAGAGTTATCAAGAACACAGTTGGCCACTGAATGTTATGCAGGTGGGCCTTACATCTCAGATTTTTTGTGATCCAATCTGTTAGTAAGATAGTGTTGCTTTGCTGCCACCAGGTAATGCCCTTGAGGTTTAACCATGCAGCCTTGGCTTTGGGGCAATCTCTAAGGAGGTGATGCATATCTTCTCTGGTTGTTTGGCATCTAGGACAGATCTTAGAATCAGTCACATTTCTGATGAACCGCATGTGATTGGTAAACAGTCTGCCATGCATAAGAAGCCAAAGGAAGCTTTTAAGTCTATAAGAGCCTTGATCTTCCAAACCCACTGCCAGTCATTTCCCTCACTATCTTGATATAAGATTGCTTGATAAGCTGCTATTGTGGAGTAGTTTCCACTGGGAGATCCTTTCCATTGAAGTGTGTCACTGTAAGTCTACACGGTGAATGGCTTCTATACCTGGCTCGAACAACAACCCGATCGCATTGCCCTCCATTTTGTGAATGGAGGCCGCTGGAAGGGCCATTCTCGTATTCTCCATGTCTACTATTTGGGTCTAGTGGCTTTCGAGCTCGTGATTTGCCTTCTCGAAAAGAGATGGACTGGTTTGGAGGGGTTAGGTTAGGTGTGGAATGGTGAGTTATATCTGCTA